CATATATAGGAATCACTAAATACATACCTATTTACCTGGCTCAGCTGATAAAGGAGGAGAACCTTGTGGCTTAGTGGCTAACACAACTGCGTAATATTTAATACAGCACAGGATCACATCCCAGTAAGGGTATGGCTAGCTGATGAGAGCTAAATAGCTTGAAATAGATCTATACTAGTCTCCCTTTATTTATTTATCAGCACAAATACAATATATAAAGTTTTTATTTTTTTCATTTTCATAACGTATAATCACATGTATACTATTACACAACCAACATCATATTATATTGTTGAATATTTACATCAATTCATCTTACCATCAACTCCCAAAAAACTATTATTGGCTCTTTTGCTCTCCATACACCGTATTTGTACCTTATCCATCACTTTCTTCTCCCTCTCTCTCTCCTCCCCCTTCCTACCTCCTTTCTTCCCTCTGTCGTCCTTCTCTTCTCTACTTCCCCTTCCTCTCTCCTTCTCTTCAGAGAGAGAGAAACTTTTTGCTGGGGCTGCTGGGGCTCTTAATAAAGAAACCATTGATTTAACTACAAAGGGTTTGTCGTTTTTGGAGAGCTGGGTCAGAACATCATATAAATACATGCCAGTTGCCAATTGCCCTAATTTTGGTCAACTGACTGTGGAGAGAGTTGCAATGATCATAAGTATAAGGACCAGTCATAAGTCACTTTTTTCAGTGCTGTTCTAACTTCAAATGGTCACTAAACAAATTATTATAAGTTGAGGATTACCTATCTACAGCAGCTTCAGAACTGCTGTCCACATGAGGGTTTCTTCTTGGAGTTTTGGAAATCCTTAAATTTCCCCCATTAGAGCTAGCATTGCCCTATTGGAGAGACATTTGAACGAGGGATGTCTCCCTCTCTGGCCAGGACTGAACACTTAGATTCATCCATGGTCCCTGCGTTCTGTGTCTTTGAATGTTTGTTCCATTCGAAGCTCCCCTTTGCTCCAATCAGCTCCGTCACTTCTGTTTCTCATCCTCTCTTTGATCTCTGCAGGAGGCCAGATCAGCTTTGACGTCTTCCCCAACGGTTGGGACAAACGGTACTGCTTGGGAATTGTTGCCCAGGACAACTTCGAAAAGATCTATTTCTTTGGAGATAAGACCATGCCGGTGAGTAGGTGGCCAGAAGAAGCTGGTCAGATCCAGCTACTACTTTGAGACAGGTCTGTGGAGATTCTCCATCCTCCAAGTCATGGTTGTCCCCAAAAAGGTGCTTTTTATTCAGAAGGCAACTGGACTTTCTGGGTTTTTTCTTTTGAAGACGTTTCCCTTCACATCCAACAAGCTTCTTCAGTTCTTACTGGATGGTGAGGAAGGGAAGGATTTGTACTCCTTGCAGACAGCTGGTCATTTGCATCCTTTTAGAGGGTGGTTGAAGTATTTGGAGGTACTTTGTCTGTGTCCTCACCTGAATAGGACTCCTGGTTCCTGTAGTCTGCCATTTTTTTCCTCTGGAAATCCATTCCCACTCCCACACCATTCCAAGGATCTTCATCCCAAATTGTACAGCTAAATGTCTGTAGAGATTCTCAGTCATCCAGGTCCTGCTTGTCCCAAAGGTGCTTTTTTCAGGAGGCAACTGGACGTCCTTGTTTTGTTTTTTTTTAAGGCATTTTGCTTCTCATCCAAGAAGCTTCTTCAGCTCTGACAGGAAGGATAGTGGGGAAGGAATCTGCAAGGAATAGAAATCCTTCCATTCCCCACCATCCTGTCAGAGCTGAAGAAGCCTCTTGAATGAGAAGTCCTTGACTTACAACTGACTCCAAAATTTATGTTATTAAGCAAGATAGTTGTTGGGTGACTTTTGCCCCCATTTTGCAAACTTTCTTGCCACAATTGTTAAGTGAATCATTGCAGTTGTTAAGTTAGTAACAAGGGTCCTTAAGTGATTCTGGCTTCCCCATTGACTTGCTTGTTAGAAGTTCATACGGTATGACCCCAGGACACTGCATACCAAACATCAAAAACTGTAATTACAACTACTTCCTGATTTTGTAAGTCTTTAAAAAGAAAAATTAACCTTTCAACATTAACCAAGCTAGTTCATGATTTTTTTTTCCAAACGGAGAGATAATGTGACATTTTTTTAAATTAACCAAACATATAAAATTCTCAAAAATGGCAAAAAACCCCATATCTGAAGATCAATCCTTTATATTTGGAATTACAGTATTTTCCCATCTCTTAAAGATTATTCTTTTTGCAATTGTTAGATTATGAAAAATGCATCTTTATTGTGAACATGTTAAATTCAAGCAGTCCTCGACTTATGACCTCAGTTGAGCCCAAAATGTATGTTGTTAAGTGACAGTTGTTCAATGAAAGTTGCTAACTTTACGACTTTTCTTGTCATAGTTAAGTGACTCATCGCTGTTATCCAGTTAATAACAATTGTTACCTGAATCCTGCTTCCCCATTGACTTCGCTGGTCAGAAGGTTGCACTAGAGGATCACGTGACCCCAGGACACTGCAACTGTCATAAATATGAGTCAGCTGTCAAGTGTCCAAATTTTGATCATGTGGCTACGGGGATGTTACAATGGTCATTAAAAAAATATCATGTCACTTTTTTCAGCACTGTTGTAACTTTAGACGGTCATTAAAACTAAGGTTGTAAGTTGAGGACTGTCTGTATAAGGAAGGCTTCTTTCCTCTCGAACATAGTTGCTGAAAATCAGAAGATCATTTTTAGCAATGATAATTTTTGAGCTCCTTGTTCAAGGATGGCAAAGAGGTGCGTTTGCTGAGCAAAGTGGCCGAGAGACTTCCTTCTTCTTTCATTCCCTGGGATCGATTTCTTCTTTGGTTTCCTTTGCAGGGAGGAAACGACTACGAAATTTACACGGACCCCAGAACCATTGGGCACAGCGTCTCTTCACCGGAGCGAACGAGAGAGATATGCGAAGCCTTGTTTTTCAAATAGATTGCGGGCTGCTTTTGCACCGAAGGGACGTACTGGGTTCAGGACCATGACTGGAAACCAGATCCTGGAAATCGGGGGAAAGGGTTAGGATAGCGTCCGAACTGTAGGGGGGGGAGGAGGGAGGGAAGGAGCTCCAATTATCCCATCCGTCCGCTCGGCTGTTCTGAGCTCACATATTGCACTGTGCTATGCTTCCTTCCCCTCTGTTTAAGGAAGGAACAGCATAAGAGCCGGGATTGCGCAGTGGTTAGAGTGCAGTACTGCAGGCTATTTATGCTGACTGCAATTTAGCAGTTCAAATTTCACCAGGCTCAAGGTTGACTCAGCTTTCTGTCCTTCCCTGGTGGGTAAAATGAGGACCCAGATTGTTTGGGGGGGGGGGGGCAAGAGGCAGACTCTCTAAACTGCTTAGAGGGGGCTGAAAAGCACTGTGAAGTGGTATAGAATTCTAAGTGCTATTACCCTTCCATCCATCCATCCATCATGCGCAGTGGTTAGAATGCAGTATGAAAAATGATTATATTTCTATTTTTAATTTTTAATTCCCTTGTTTGTCTGTAAGCCGCCCAGAGTCCCCTGGGAGTGGGCGGCATACAAATACCAATAAACTGGAAACTGGAAGTATTTCAAGCTAACTCTGCCGACTGCCAGCAGTTCGATCCTGAGCGGCTCAAGGTTGACTCAGCCTTCCCTCCTTCCAAGGTGGGTAAAATGAGGATCCAGATTGTTGTGGGCAAGAGGCTGACTCTATAAACTGCTTAGAGAGGGCTGTAAGGCATTGTGAAGCGGTACAGAAGCCTGTGCTATTGCTATTTATCTCTCTATCATCTCTCAATCTAGCATCCCTCTATCTGTCTACCTCTCTCTGTCTCACACCATGGTAGTTCAGTGATTAGAATGCAGTATTGCAGGCTGATTATTCTGACTGCCAACAGTTCGACCTGACCGGCTCAAGGTTGACTCAGCCTTCCGTCTTTCCAAGGTCGGTAAAATGAGGACCCAGATTATTGAGGGCAAGACGCTGACTCTGTAAACAGCTTAGGGCTGTAAAGCACTGTGAAGCGGTCTATAAATCTAAGTACTATTGCTATTGGCTTCGCACCATGAAATTAGCCTTAATCCAGGATTCACAAACCATCTTTGCATAGACTTTGTTCCCCAGAATAAAATGGCCAGTTTGATGGCTTAGTGCACTTTGTGGATCAGTTCCATCTTGAAAAGGAAGCAGCCGTTTTCCAAGTGGAAAGCAGAGGAGCGGAGCTCTTAAGAGCGAAGTCACTTAGAATCTTGCTTCGGCGCCTCCTAACTTTAGGGGATGAGTCCTATCCTCGGAGACCCTTTCTCAGCATGGAAGCTCCTATGGGATTTGCCTTGTCTCCCAAGGCCCCTTTCCAGTGGTGGTCGAACCGGTACTGGTTTGGTGGCTTGGGTCGCTGGATCCAGCAGCGACACAGGCCTGCGATGCCCCCAAACTGTTTCTCCGACTAGCGCCATAGTCAGCGCCATCTTGTTTTCTGCTTCTGCGCATGCACAGAAGAATTTTTATTGCACTCCGCATGCGTGTGCAACGCACACATGAGCAAACCAGCAGTAGTGCCTGCCGGAACCCATCCATGCCTCTCTCTGATGTCCCTCCCCTGCCCCTCCCCCCCCAACAATTTGTGGGAACAGCTTCACATGTTCCAAGATATTCCACAGATCACCTGTGGGGTAAGAAATACTCCACTGGCCAAAAATACGCAATCCAGGCTGTTATGTCTTCTTAGTGCCGAGTAAACTCAACTGTTGGGTCGTGGTTCAGTTTTTCTCTCCAGAACAAGGATATTCCTGTCCCAATGACATTTGGAGATCTGCTGAAGGAAGCTGGCTGACCCCGTGCTTATGCCTTCCATTCTCACGCCATGCCTGCAATCTGGGCCTTCCCACTGTTTGTAGAGCCTTTTGGGGGGGAAAGGAAGTGCAAAACATCTGGATAACTTGGGAAGCCGGGTTGAGAGAGATGTCCTTATTTTTCCCTGAGTCCACCTTTGTTCTGAACCCTTCCTGAACCTGGGACAGTGTTTGATGATTCTTTTTGATGTTTGAAATTTAATGCACTTGCAGAAAGACTGGAGAGTTTTCACGTCTAAAAAAATCAGCCAGGTTGATCTGCAATGAGATTGCTGGAAACTGTACTGTGCTGTTTTTTTTTTTTTAGGTATTTATTAATATTTGTATGCCGCCCTTTTCCCTGGGGGGACTCAGGGCGGCTCACAATTCAGAAGGAGGGGGAGACAAACCAAGTTACATATAGGACAGTACTTCATTAAAAAACACAACATTCATACTATTCGGGTACGGTGAGGTCTTTAGCCCCAGGCCTGTCGGGACAGCCAGGTTTTGAGGGCTATGCGGAAGGTCTGGAGGGTGGTGAGGGTACGAATCTCCATGGGGAGTTCGTTCCATAGGGTCGGAGCTGCCACAGAGAAGGCTCTCCTCCGCGTGGTTGCCAGTCGACATTGACTCGACATTGACTCGATAGTCGATATTTCTGGATGAAGCTGGATCCTCTCATTAAAATCTCTGTGAATCATTTGCAAATTCTGTCCAGTGTTTGATGTCTTCCCAACCCAGTATCCAGAAACAGATGTAGCTGTTCCTGAGGTTTTGAGATGACGGAAACCATCAGGATCCTTAAAAACTCTTGAATTTGACTTTAAAAATTATAACCAACTTTATTGTTCCTTTTGAGAGGTTTGAGGTGTCCCTTTTAATCCAGATGGAAGGAGAGAAACTTTTATGCAAAACTGGCTTTAAAATTAAGATGGTTCCTGAATAAACCACAGGAAGATTTTCTCTTATTCATTGGGAGCAAACAAAGTTTTGCTTTCTTCAAACTTCTGTAATATCAGTTTAGTTTAGGATCTCAAGGGAAACGAAATTGGTATTCTTTCCTTCCAAGCCACAAAATATTTGCTTTATGCATGAAGCAAAAGGCCATTTTTAAAAAAATATATGCTGGACCCCAATTTCGTGTCATGGGTCTGCCAGGAAAAATCAAATCAAAACTGTGCCAATCAAAAGTCATTAATTTTGCACCATTGTACTGTCATCATTTTTGTATTTTTAGGCAATCTCTACACCTTTCTACAGAAACATAAACATGATCTTATTAGGAATTATATACAACAGGGCTCTCCAGTCCCCGAGCTGTAGATCAGTACCAGACCAGTCCATGGTTTGTTAGGAACTGAGACCGCACAAGCCAATGAAACTTCATCTGTGCGTGTGCAAGATCTAAATTGCACATGAAACCACCCCCACCCCCATTCTGGTCTGTGGAAAAATCTGACTTCTACAAAACAGGTCCCTGGTGCTGAAAAGTTTAGGAAGAGCTGATTTACAACACAAATCTAGATTTTATCAATTTAAAGTTGTAGTTTTAGGATTTTTGCATCCTGCGGCACATTTATGCCTCAGGAAGCACATACTGCAAGCATGGTTTACATAGCTCTGTAATCAAGATACAGGGATACCTGGTAAACCATACAATTTAACTTTTCAATTTTCACTTGAAACTGTTGTAGGAGGAGGGCCATGTTAGTAGCAAAAACCAGGACACGCTTATAACATACTAACAGATTTGGAAGGGACCTTGTAGGTCATCTAGTCCAGCCCTCCGCCCAACCAGGAGACCCTACGCCATTTCTGATAGATAGCAGTTCAGTCTTTTTTTGAAAGTCTCAAGTGATGAAGCTTTCACAATTTCCAAAGGCAACTTCTGTTCCATGGGTTGCTTGTTCTCACTGTCAGAAAATTTCTCCTTATTTCCAGGTTGAATCTCTCCTTGATCAGTTTCCATTCATTATTCCTTGTCTGGCCTTATCTTTTTCTCAAATTGGCACCTTTAAAATGGGTGGGCTTCCAACTCCCAGAATTTTGGTTAAAGACCATCCAGGTTGAGAAACACTTCTTTAGACAAAGAATTTTATCAAAAAGCAAAACTGTTGGTGAACTGCATTACATTTGAGCATTTTTTTTAAAAATCCATATTTGTTTGTTTGTCAAACATGTACAAGATAACAAGTAAAGGTATGGACATAAACATGAACAAAGGAAATAAATACAGATAAATGGGGACAGTAGGACAGGAGGTTAGGCACTTTGGTGCGCTTATGCAGGCCCCCTTTACGGATCTTTTAGAAATGGGGTGAGGTCCACATTAGACAGTTTAAGGTTAAAGCTGTGTGGGTTTGAGGATGCAACAAGGGAGTCAGGTAGTGCATTGCAGGCATTGACCACTCATATTTTCTGCAATCTAGTTTGGAGCAGTTTACTTGAGTTTATATCGATTGTTTGCCCATTATTGTGGTTGAAGCTGAAGAAGTCATTGACAGGTAGGATGTTGTAGCAGACAATTTTGTGCACAATTTTGTGCACTATGCTTACATCGAACCATAAGCGGTGCAGTTCCAGATTGTCCAAGCCCCAAATTTCAAGCCCGGTGGCACAAAGGATTCTATTGTGAACAGAGGAGTGTCAAAAATAGATGTAGATGTCAAAATGGCCCATTTCCCATCTTTGTGACTTCTTGCAGAAAATTCCTTACTGAAATCTCAGGAACCAGAGAGTAGAGATTGGGGAGTGGGTGGGGTGGTCTTCTGTATCCTTCTCATTTCCAGGAGAACTTAATTAATCTCAATTAGACAAAGCAAAGGAATGTAGCAAGAATGTCCCCAATTCAGGAAGAAGGAAGTGGACTTGGACCAGGCTTCAATAGAAGTCCAAAAATACCATAACTAATATATTTCAGCATTGCAAAAAGACAAGTGAGAAGTTGTGAACTTCCACAGTTGGTTTCTTAAAACCAGCCAGCAATTCCATGGAATGTGTTTCCTGCCAATTAAAGGGGAGGAAAGGCAAAAGAGGAATAAATAGCACAGAGTTACCAGAAATATGGAATTGTTCTTCCACTAATTAATCTCTGAAGTTGCCCAGATGTTAAAGAGGACTTTAAAAAAACACAACTTTTCAATTACATGCAGTCCTCGACATACGGCAATTGACCCCAAATTTCCCATGCTAAGGACAGTTTAACAATGAGGTTTGCCCCATTTTATGACCTTTGTTACCACAGTTTTTAAGTGAATTGTTGTAGTTGTTAATGTGTAATGTGATTGTTAAGTGAACCTGGCTTCCCTATTACATTGTCACAAGGTCGCAAAAGGGGATCCCATGATCCTGGAACACATCAACTGTTATAAACATGAGTCAAGGTATCTTCACCGTCATAACTATGAGCC